GACTGATAGTTTACTCTGATCTGGGTAGTCTGCAGGAAATCAAGCTATTATGATTGGAGATGATCCACTACGCAAAACGGAAACGAGACTCTGTGAAAAAAGAAGCCAGACTGGACATTGTATGCAAAGTGAAGAGGAAACTAATGATGCATCTACAAGGGAACCAGGCTCAAAGTCAAAGGTAATGCAAGCTTATCTACATAAAGAAAATAAAATACTTTGCATTTTTGGAAACATGTCTCCTGTATTAGAGAAATTTTAAAACATTTGAAGACATGATGTAAAGAACTTGTCTTTTTTTGTTTTGCTTTGTTTGCTTGTCTTCTGGTAGCTTATGCAGATGTCAGGGGTTAGTTCTGATTGTTAGAATTTACTCTAGTAGTAATCTTTGATGATGATGCCAACACTACATTTGAGTAGTTTACAGAAGGGTCCTCCAAAAAATTATCTAATTTAGAAATTAAAACAAATTGAGAAATATAACACCATCAATCAAAAAAGAATTAAAAATCGCTGTCACTAGTTCATATAGTGTGATCATCTGGGTGAGCATAGTTCTGAAAAGAACTACAGTAACCCTCAGAACTACCCTCACCCAGACAATCATACTGTACCAACTACTGATACTCCTGAATTCAAACCAGTTACTCTGTCACTATTATTTACTCTGTCACTATTATTCACTATTATTCAATCGACTGATAGTTTACTCTGATCTGGGTAGTCTGCAGGAAATCAAGCTATTATGGTTGGAGATGATCCTCCACGCAAAACGGAAACCAGACTATGTGAAGAAAAACGCCAGACTGGACATTGTATGCAAAGTGAAGAGGAAACTAATGATGCATCTACTAGGGAACCAGGCTCAAAGTCAAAGGTAATGCAAGCTTATCCACAGAAAGAAAATAAAATACTTTGCATTTTTGGAAATATGTCTCCTGTATTAGAGAAATTTTAAAACATTTGAAGACATGATGTAAAGAACTTGTCTTTTTTTGTTTTGCTTTGTTTGCTTGTCTTCTGGTAGCTTATGTAGATGTCAGGGGTTAGTTCCGATTGTTAGAATTAACTCTAGTAGTAATCTTTGATGATGATGCCAACATTACAGTTGGGTGGTTTACAGAAGGGTACTCAAAAATATTTTTTTATTAGAAGTAACAAATTGATAAATATAACAACATCAAACAAAAAAGAATTAAGAATGGCTGTCACTAGTTCATATTAGTGGGATCATCTGGGCGAGCATAGTTCTGAAAAGAACTACAGTAACCCTCAGAACTACCCTCACCCAGACAATCATACTGTACCAACTACTGATACTCCTGGATTCAAACCAGTTACTCTGTCACTATTATTTACTCTGTCACTGTTATTCACTATTATTCAATCGACTGATAGTTTACTCTGATCTGGGTAGTCTGCAGGAAATCAAGCTATTATGGTTGGAGATGATCCACTAGGCAAAATGGAAACGAGACTCTGTGAAAAAAGAAGCCAGACTGGACATTGTATGCAAAGTGAAGAGGAAACAAAAAAAGAACCAGGCTCAAAGTCAAAGGTAATGCAAGCTTATCTACATAAAGAAAATAAAATACTTTGCATTTTTGGAAACCTGTTTCCTGTATTTGAGTTTTATATGAAGAACATGTTCTTTTGAATTCAATGTGAAAATTATTAATATCCCTATTAAGTCTAATGATGAACTTTATAATAACAACCTTTAAAAGACTCTACTAAGTCTTAAGTACCGCAATATACATTCATGCATTATTATTATTAAAGATAATATTGACCCCTAAAACCACAGGTAGAAGATTCTCAGAGACTGATTGTGTAAAAATAATAGTTATTACTGGTAATTTGAACTTGCTTGTGTTCAATTTANCGTTGGGATTTATTACAACATTGAATTTCATAATACATTTGATTTCCCTACAAAACACTTAAGTTCTGTTTTAAATTACAAATGTTAGAATGAAAATTTTGGAAAGATAAAGTTAACTTAAGTGGAAACTGTTAACAGACTTGAACACCAGCTCAGGGAGCTGCCAAGCAAATTAACTCCATGGCCATTTCTTATATGTATTTACATATGGTAGTTTAACACTTTCATGATCAGTTACATTCACATGGATGTACATGACATTGCATTTTAAAACAAAACCATATGTTCTCTGGACATGTCAAGTGAGTGCAAAAACAATTCTTTTCATTTCTTTGGCTTGTAGTACAAGACAAGGGAACCAGTTGTTTTTCCCTGCAACCCAAACAACCCTAATCAGGGAACACAAATGCTGGTCATTAAAATATCTGACCTGTTAATTAACAAATGTTTGGAGCTGATATGTGCAATAATTTTCTATAAACAGCTGTCAGCTGCCAAAAAAATTGTTTCAAGGCCATTCAATTAAAAAGAACAGACCCTATGGGTAAGATTTTCTGAGGGGCTCTCTGGCAGTCATCGTTCTTAAAAATATTTTCTACGAGGTTGGGTTATACTGATAAGTTGCCTTTTACTCCAAGGAGGGTAATGACTTACTTCATCAATTGGGGGAATATAAAAATAGCGGGGATTAAAATGCAATGGTCCTAAACTTTCCTAAACACAAATTGTTATGTCCACCGAATGAAACTGTCTGTTCACAACAGAGCTCAACTGATTAGTTTCTGTAAAGACAAGTCAATTGCAAAGTCGTTGAGGTCGTATCGTTGTACGTAAAACGAAACGACTACGCATTCCTTCTTTCTGTTATAACAACACAAGATTGGGGACTTATCTGTTACCACAACGGCAGCTCTCCCATTCAACAGGCTTACTCTTTTCCCTTTATGCATTGCAGACTTGTAGACTCGTTTCTTGAGACAGTTTGTGCCTTTCATCCTAACTGGCGAAAACACTTTTTTAGCAGTATTGTTAGAGGACAACGTTAAAACGATTTTGAGGGTAGTTGTCTTCATGTCACCACCATACCCAACCACTAAAACGCAGATATGACGAAAAATGGGCCACGGAATGAATAGCGTTATTGGAGACATCAGCCCAGTGTTCTTTGACCTTGCTAATTTGCTGTAAATCAGATTCCCCATGTGCTTCACGTAGGAATCGACGACGGGGCCAACTAGTTCGATTTTGTTGAGCATTCGTTCCTCCATAACGCCATTTAAGCCACGCATTCCATAGTTTGGCTTCCTTTTTGCGTTGTGGACCATTTCTAGCCATTGCGGTTGGACTGTCGACTTCAATAGAATAACAGACCGGTTCCAAAAACTCTCGTCACGCTCAGTTTGCCCTTTGTTCTCACCCAGATCAATTTCTTTTTCCGCCATTTTTTTTTTCTCAGACGTGAATCCGCTGCTAATTTATGAACCCGCGCAGTTCGAAGAAACTAATCCGCTGTCTACTTATGGAGCCCGCGCTAATGGGAGGAAATCGCCGGCCCAGTAACCAGCGTGAAAACGCTGAAAATTCAACAGTTCACATAGACTATTCGTTTTGCGCGATTTTAAAACGTTTATCATGTTTGGATAAGGGCCTCCGCACGAATAAACGCACTCCTCCGTATAAGTTCGCCTCCCAGGCCAGAAAGCCAAATAAGCACCCCTCTCTCATAAGCGCTGCCCCTCCCTCAAGGAGTGAAAACGTGTTCACATAAAACCTCACTTGGATAGAATAGATACTCGGAAGTCGAATACTTGTATTCAAAAGCATCCTCAAATATTAGACTCCGTTACGACCTTGAGTAAAAAAAAAAAAAAACTTGAAAAGAGGACCAATGCTAACATATCAGAGAGAGTTTATGGACCAATCTAAGCATACGTTGTTCTGAGAGAGCAGACGGCGAAGATTAAAGCGTGAAATGTGGCAATGAGTGGCATTCAAAACAATTCTTCGGGCCGAGTACTTCGATATCAAATTCACATTTTCCTAAGAGCGCTCACAATCAGTAAATCTGAACACTTCTTCAGCAATGACATCTGAATAGTCATGTTCTATGTGCTTGGTAGAAACTCGTTCTTTAAAAAGTTGTCGCCCATGTGTCACATTCCTTTTAACGCGTGTAATCCGTAATGTTCGAACACTTTACAACTCGAACAACGCTTCGACATTCGACCTCCCAGATAGGTTTTAGTTGCAAATGAGAACGACGTGCGATTTTCCCTCAAACACCAACAACTTCTGGCACAACCTACATTTATCTCTTTCTGTTATAAATACGGAAACTATGGGTGCTCCGGACATTAAAAGACGACTGATGCAGCTCCCGAACATGATATTACTGTACAAGGCTACGCGAAATCTTGTGTTCTGTATTGCTAGTAAAACGTTTTGTAAGAACCACGCACTGCATTAACACTGTCACGTGCACCAAATTTGTTCCTAAAAACTTCAAAAAGTACTTCTCATGAAAAGTGTTCTTTCACAAGAACTTGTCGGATTTGGAACATTTTAGCCGGTGAAACCCAAACTCTGAGCTCATTTGAGACCGTTATTTATTCATTTGAATTGCCGTGGTTTGGCGAGGTTAATAAATAAATAAAACAAATAAGCTTATAATGATAAAACAAAAGCTTACAGAAAGCTTTATGTTTCGCCCCAGAACTGTTCAACGGAAACCTGCCCCTCTTCTTTATCATGTTCTTCGGTTCCCAAACTGTACCGCCTCGCGACTCTAACGACAGGGGGCCCATACAATCTGTTTGTGTGGCCGACCGTTGTTTTATAGTGAATGTACCAGATTTACCGTTTGCTTCACCTGGAATGATATATTGCTGATTATGTACATAAATCATTGATAAATAAACGTTGAATTACTTTACCTATGGTGTATAGTCGTCCTTTTGCCTCAGAAATGTTTTATTTAGCGATTTTGAATAAATCTGATTTCGTCGTTAATGCAATGCATTAAAGAAAGACAAGGGTGGAA